AATTCCCCCTCTCTCAGATAAGACGTGCAGCAAAGCAGCCGCGAGGGGGTAGGGGTGCCCGACGAAAAACAGGTGGAACGACAACGACAAGACGATGAGTACGGTACGTCTATTCGGTAAAATTAGACCATCCGACTAGTCAACGCTGACTAGTCGGATGGTCTAATCTTACCGATTAAAAGATATGCTCTTAGCTCGTTAGCACCCGGCCGGATCACATGGGCTTGGGAATGAGTAGAGATCTCCGGGGCCTTTGGTAAATCGAACAGCTCACGCAGTGGTCTAATGGCCAAAGCGTTCTTACACAGGTTCCCACGCACGGGTTCGAAACGCAGTGGACCACTTACACATGAATCTCCATTCGTTGCTTTGTACCAAACAGCGGCGTCTGGCGAGGGGTCCGGCCCCGGAGATCTCTACTCATTCCCAAGCCCATGTGACTCGGCCGGGTGCTAACGAGCTCAGAGCATTATCTTTTAATCGGTAATATTAGACCATCCGACTAGTCAGCGCTGACTAGTCGGATGGTCTAATTTTACCGATTATCGTCGGGGTCCTGTGTTTACCATTGAGCGGACGCTTTCCCTCGTGCTTGCGTTTCTTCTTCATTGTTGATCGACCGTGCTGCAAACCGGTTGACCAATGAAAATACGCCAGTCTTGTAGCGAAATACGAAACACTTGAACAACGACTTCTCGTCGGCGTGCCCCCGACAGAGGGGATGCGGAAAGGAGCAGGTGTGCGCGCGCGAATCCTTCGTTCACTTTGCACTGCAGTGTTGGCTTTCTTGTTTGTTTTCGTCTGTATAGACCTTCTTCGAGATTGCCTTGCTGGGGCCGCTTCCAACACTTAGCGACGCCTAGGTATCCACACGTCCCCCCGCCACCACGTGGTGACCGTTCTTCCGACATGGCAGATTTCTGCTGGGTCTGCCGAGGGCAATACCGTTGGCGGACAAGCTCAACGGCCCTTTTCGTCCGAAAGATTCGGCAATTAATTGACACCATCCCGACCGCAGCCGGAGAATATGTCGACCACACCTCGTGTCGTGGCCGCTGACCTCGGCGACAGATTGCCTGCTTTACTGCTTGCACGCTTGAGGAACGAACGGTCTTCTTTGGTTCCACAGGTTCCTCATCTTCACAGCAGTCCTGTGCGCGCGTCTCGCTGACCCTGTACGTTCCGCGCGTGAGTGACTCTCTCCCTTTGAGTGCAGCAGTGTGGTAGAGTGTGGATGGTCCAGCCAAATGTGCGTGAGTGCCACCTTGTACCAATTTCGGTTTGACGCCCTTCGAGACCCAATTTACAAGACAATCTTCAAGGTCAGGATTCAACATTTCCACGTCCTCCCTCCACTCTGGTGAAAACTCCCTCCGCGTCTAGGGTTGGGAGCGAGGAATCAAGCCCCGCGTACGGGAGCTGTGAACGCCGCCTCTTTTAGAATATTTGCGTGTGCTGGGGGTGTGTGGCGGTGGCGACCCCGACGAGGGATATGTATGATGAAATATCTGTACTTACGCGGACTAGAGTGGATGCGGAGGGGGATGTGCAGGCTGCCGCTGGGAAAGCGACGAAGGCCCCCCTGGTCATGGATGGATCCATCTGTAGATGGAGGGAGGTGCGGTGCCTCTACCGTTCCCAATGGCAGAGCCCTGCCTCCCTCGTAATCAGGTCTTCAACTGAGTGCTACACCCTGTGCCATTGCTATGGCTGAGCTGATATCGTACCGTGAGCTAGAGTACGAGTGCTATCCGTTGGAAAACGTGCAGCCATTGCCAGGAAGCCTAACGAGGAGTCATCTCAGATCGCAAGAGTCCTACAGTAGCCAGAAGGCAGAGGTGAGAGCATTTAGCAGGAACGATGTAGGTAAATTTAGTCCCTTACCAACACTGCACTAACTCCCGTCCTTGTCTTTACCTACAACGACGACGATAACGACAACAAGCAAACCCTCCTCCGCAGGATCGGGGAGGGAAGGGGAGCTACACGACACATACAATGCCAACACGAACACATCGGCTCCTGAACCACATTCCCTCCTGTAGAAGAGTACATTTTCCCGCACGAACGCACGCACGCAACACAAAATGTACGCCACGTTTACACCCCACCGTGCACCTTCCAGTGGACGGCTACCAACAGCAGTCACGTGCTTGACAACACACAGCTACCTCGCCACGTACGTGCACAGAGACACGCCCCTATTCTGGCATTAAGTCGAATGTTTTCAAAAAAACAGTTGGAGCGATGGGCGTACGGTTTCATCGGACACAAACACGGTGTGTCCCCGGCACTCATACGGATATACACGCAAAGTCAAGACCCAAGAGTGACATGACACAATCACAATTCCTACAACAGGGCCAGGGCGACTGAAAAAACAGCGTCGAAGGCACACACCCTTGTTGAGAGGTCGACGTACTTAGTGTCGTCGGCCTGAGAAAGGTTGAAGGTTGCGGGTTTTCAATACCCACTGATACTCGGGGCCACGACGTGCCCGATGGCGTCCTGCCACGGGGTGTGCTCGTAGTGCCCTCTGGCCATGAGGATCGTCGCCCGGAAAATCTTGAGCCCTTTCTGCGCCAACGCCCACGACAAGAGGCCCGTGAACTCTACGGGACAGTGGAACCTGAAAACACACACGCGGTAGGAAACATGCAATAGATCGATGAACAATATCCATCGCATGATGCACACATCCATCAAACCACGAGAGACGCCACGTCATGGACGATTCGTGTCTTTTGCGCTAGGGTGCATAGGGTGGTGGGCGGGGGTGTCAGAGCTAATGTATGGCAGTGTGTGGCTGCTCCGGTATTGATAGCCGGGGGTCCTGGGATTGTTGATATCGTCCCAACACGTCGTTGAAACGCTCTGGGAAGTGGAGCCCTTCCACCAAGAGTCTGTGCAGAGGTTTTTCACCGCCTGGTTTGCGTACGCACCGCAAGCTACAATCATCGCATTAATACAAGGTACACGGAACAGTCCAAACATGCTGTCGCTGCCCCACGGCAGGTGCAAACAGGGGGAGGGGGCTCCGTGAGAGGAATCTGTCCGTGTCCCCGAGCTCAAGCCACGGTACAACACTGAAGCGGCCAGGTAAGTGGAAGCATTTTACGCTGATGGTGGAGTGCGCCGCAAATCCAAAACACCTGCTTTAGTGGCGGGAAGCATGACTTCGGGCAACGTGATCTCTGAAGGCTGCCAAAGAGTGTTTCACGGAGCCAAAGTTGACCAGATAGGGGAAGGCGAGAGATATTACCTTGGGCAAGGCAGCCCAGCCTGTTGGTGCAGCTTCGAGCTCTCTCGGAACATGTCGCAGAAGATGTCCTGCGACTTCGCCACGGTATGTCCCATTATGTAGAAACCTTACGGATTCCACGGACCCGAAGCAGTTATCGACCCCCCGAAGCAAGGCCGAGCCCCAACACCGCCCCCACCACCAAGGAAGCGCACACGACACAGGACAGGCACAACAAACAACGACAAACTCAACGTTAAAGAGCGACCGGCCGTGTTATGATGGGTACGCACGCCACGGTGCAACAACCGCGCAGAGAGATGGCGGGAGGCGCGCTACAACAACAAATCAGCTCGTGGGAAACAATGGTCGTGGTACCGTGGTGACGTTAGGTCTGTCTACGTCTGCTTGAGGCAGGGCGCGCATCGTTGCGCTGTAGCCCTTGGCCCTGCACTGTAGTCGGTAGCACATGCTTGTCGTATTTGAGGCATCTAGAAATCCAAATGTTGCCAAACTTTTTCTCATTTGGCCCAAAGAACAAATGCAACCCCATCTTTGTACTTAGTATTGCAGATGGAAGGCGGTGAATGCGTTGATCAGGTCGCGCGCGGGTGCTTCAATAATGGAACTTCCGTGGCCCCGGATGTTTGCGAGTGTGCTGAGGTAAAACCAGATGTTGTACTTGTGTGCAGCATGTGGTCTTCCGAGTTGGCTTCCTGCCCCCCCCGCCCCGATTCTAGCGTCGTTCCTTGCCGATCTGATGGTTTCCTGCGATCAATTCTTCTTTTCGTTGTCCTGCTTGCAGATGGTTTGGTAGCGTTGTTCTCCATTTCCGTGATGGTTGTTTTCCGTGAATCAGCATGCATCCCGGTCAATTGCGTCAAGGTCCCTCACAGTACGCCTTGCAATCACAGCCTTCCGCAAAATAAGGCCACACGGCCGTGTAAATATAGTCAATCGTTGATGATACGTCGTGCCGACGGAGCATATATACATGTAGCCTACCTGTGGTGTAGCCAACCACCTTGCCATCTGCATCTCGGGCCACCAGCCTGCAGTGTCCGTCGATGCCCCGACCGTTCGCCGGTGAAAACGGGATAGCAGTGATGGATGATGCCATGCACGAAGAGCAAACGGAGAGAGCGGGGACAAAGTAGTCGTCATGGAATTCTGCTACCGGTACATGTTGCGGGAGCAACATATGGGCGAATTCCCTTTTCCCAGACACCTTGGTCCACCACGCTATCCCAGAACAAAACGCAGTCTATTCTCGTAATGACCAAAATGCCCACTCCATTCCGTACTCACGCTCCCTTGCTCAGCTGACCCAACTCACATCGGGAACGGGGCGCCGGACTCCAAGCAACCGGTGATATCTGCACGGCGGTCCCAGCCGCAGCCCTTCCCGTGTGCCTCGAGAAACATTTCCGCGCATTCCTCGACATCCCCCGCGACCATGGCCTTTAGGGTTACCCCGCTAGGCGCGGGGGGGGGCGACAGGCTCCCCTCAGACGGCGGCTCCAAGAATCCTCCCATGTATTGGCACGTGTGCTTTGTCTGGCGAGGTAGAAAAGGGAGTGGTTTGTTCCTGTTGCGGCGGATATTGTTCGTTTACTAAGGCGAACGCGGCGGGTGGTGTGGAGGAAGGTCGATGAAAGGGCAAGCTGGGGTGAGTGCACACTTGCTGCGTGTGGTGGAGGGTTCTATGTCTGACCCAAACCTTGCGTCCTCGCGACCACGCAGGACGGATCACGTGAACTCAGAGGGATGAAGCGTACGGCAGAGGCAGCGTTGAGCGTGCGAATGAAGCCCCGATTCTCGAACCCGTGGTCACTTTCAGAGACGCTTGTCCCTGTTTGATTATGTTGGTGTTGAAAGACGAGTCATTGCGGGCTACTAGAAATAGGGGGAAAGGCCCCGAAGTCGCGGGGGTGTGTGCATATTGGGACACAAGAACGTCCATGCACACGGCTTTGTGTATGGCGACAGGACACACCGTGCCCCCAATGCTATGCGCCCACACCGTGCCCCCAATGCTAAGCGCCCTGCAAATCGTGTCGTCTACGCAAGGCGCCAAGAGGGAAATACCAACAAGGGAAGTGCTGTTTTCACCTCGAACCCAAGCTTGGCGTACAGGGAGAACGATCGCGAGTTGGCCGCGATTTGCATCAGGACCTGTGGCCAAACCGAGCGGGAGGTAGACAGAACCGGTTGAAAAACAAACATAGAGCGAAGAGGAAGCGAGGGAAGAAAAAGAGGGAAGCAAGCACACACCTCACCAACAGGAACGCACCGGTCGACGAAAGCTTGCAGGCTGACATGCACATGCGTGAGATATACTCAATACGACCAAGAAGCGGAGGGGAGGGCGTGGTAGGCTGGTTGACCAGGACACACACACTGACGTTGATTGGCTTTTCCCAAAGGTCCGCCTAGCAATGGAGAGAGGCCAGAAACTTGCGTACGCAGAGATTGGACTCTCTACATCACAACAAGTAAAAATTCTGCCACGAAATCACTGGCGATGATCGTCAAACCTTGCTGGCCAGCTCCCCCACCCAAGACGCGCCGTTTTGGTCGCCCCCGTTCTCACCAGGGTAGAGAAACCGAGCTCCTCGGCGTAGGCGCAAGCGGCCACGAACGACTTCTTGCCGGCACCTGGGGCTATGGACGACACGGGCCCCAGGCAGGCCACCCTCGAGCCTTTCGCGTGCACGTCGACGAAGGACACACCCACGATCTTGCCGGCCCCGCCGTCCGCCACCACCGCGTACGCCTCGTGTGACTTGCAGATGCTGGAAACAAGGGTGTGAATTTTGGAACCGCGGGAGCAGGGGGGGGGGGGGGTAGGTGGGCGCGTACGAGTGCAACAGGAGGGATGTTTGGGGCGTTGCTGTGCATTGAACCACAGATTTCTCCCAGCTCCCGATGCACGCAAGGGGGTCTGTAAAGAACGGCGGTTGCTCTGAACACGGGGATTGGCGTTGCAACAGTTGGGGTTTGTCGTTGGGCATCGGTCCACGTGCGCTGGTATTGTTCCGGCGCTGACCTTTGAATAATGCCCGGGCCCGTCTCAGGGTGTCCGAACTCCTCTTCGTACACCTCTACGGGGGCGCCCATGGAGGTGTTGAAATCTTGAAACGCCTTGCTCACGACGTGAGTCACCTCATCCATCTGCGAGTCCTGTTTCGTCAAACACAGAAGGAGAGCATATCACGATCAAATCGATTTGAGATGTTTCATTCACTTATCCGACTGGCAAGCTCCCGCCGAAGGAGTGACACAGCTGGGCCAAACAAAACTTCTGTCCATAACAGCAGTGGAGACCGATTGCGTGGAGGGCAACACATGGTGGTAGAGAAGGGAGGTTTGCTGCACATCCGAAAATTTTAGTTAAAACTAATGTTTTTTTATTTATTGATCTGTGGCACTTCCAATACCCTACAGAAAACGCATATGAGTTCTGTGACGCTCCGATACCCTACAGAAAACGTCTGTATACATTTGTTAACCTACCCGCTACGTTTTGTGAGTTCTGTACGACCTTCGCACAAACCCGATTTGTTCTGTTGAGTCTGTGGCACTGGTGATACAATACCGGATATTTCTGTATGTTCTGTGACACTTCCGGTACCCTACAGAAAACTTCTGTGATTTCTGTAAACCTTCCGATACCCTACAGAATACTTCTGTGGAAGTCTGAGACACTTCCAATACCCTAACGGACACTTCTGTGAGTTCTCTCACACCTACCGGACTACGCCTGTACGCTCTATGTTCTGAGTCAGGCCCACCAACCAAACTTGAAGCGCACCTTTTCAATTTCTTTGCAAAAAAAAAAAGGTACAAATCACGTGGTGATTCTCGCACACAAGTCATGGTGAGCATCACTACACACTGCACCACACACATACACACGATTGTGAACAACCACGATGCATCTGTATCGCTGTGGAGGAGAGGGACATGAGCTCTACCTCTACCACCGCGGACCCTCCGAGCGGATCATCGGTCGCTGCGGGAGGAGTCAGAACGCGGGCGGAGGCAGCAGCAGCACCACCACCACCACCACCAGAACGCGCGGGAGAAGCAGAGATAGAGTTGACACGGGAGACGGTGCTTGATGGCCGCTGACGCCATCTTCGACGTGTTGAGCAACACGGCGACCCCCTCCGTGGATGACATCGACATGGAGGACTGAATAGAACCGGGTTTTTTTCTGTAGCAAGTTGTGGCCAATCAGGACTTCGCGCATTCTATGCATGCATGCATGTCCGTTTCCAACCGTAGCTCATATGGCATACACCGCTGGCTATTGTTGCAACTGGCAGCTTGATCGAGTGGGCAGCCCTTTGCTCCTGGTTTGTGTTTGTCGGCAGTGGTTTGGTGGGATCCGACAAGTGCGTGAGCGTACGAAGTGTTGTTGTTTCGTTTATGTTTCTCGTGACGTGTCTTTGCAGCAACTCATGTTGTGGTAGACCTGTGAACACGACACAAACATCGATGGATGGATGGAGTAATAAGCAGTGGCAACATGTTGCGAGAAGCAACGTGTTTTTTGTTGGCAGGGTACCCGGTATTTGCATGTTTGGATGCAGAGAGACCGGGGGGGGGATACCTGGGGTATCTCTCATTTGAGCGACATGCTTACATACCCCCTATTTTCTGTTCTGTAACACTTGCGATACCCTACAGGACGTTACAGACGAGTTCTGTGGCACTTTCAATACCCTACAGAAAACGTCTGTGGGTTCTGTTACACTTGAATACCCTACCGGACACTTCTGTGAGTTCTGTGATGCTCCAATACCCTCTAGAAAACATCTGTGGCTTCGGTGACGCTCCAATACCCTACAAAAAACTTCTGTGAGCATTTGATAACCTACCGGCTAGGTTCTGTACGACCTTCGCACAAAACCGATTTTTTCTGTTGAGTTCTGTGGCACTTGCGATACTTTACCGGATATTTCTGTGAGATCTGTGGCACTTTCAATACCCTACAGAAAACTTCTGTGAGTTCTATGAAACGACAGTACAGTACAGAAAACGTCTGTAGAGATTTGTGAACCTACCCGAAACGTTCTGTGGGTTCTGTACGACCTTCTCGCAAACCCGATTTTTCTGTGGAGTTCTGTGACACTTCCAATACCTACCCGATATTTCTGTGAGTTCGTGACAACTTCCAATACCCTACAGAAGGTTACAGACCCTACAGAACATGCCCTTGGAATTTTTTATCCAAACACGAGGCGAAACAAAAGTGGAATGCGCGGGGTTTGAGTGCTCACTACGGTTTCGAGGACCCGTCCTTGCAGCATCTAGCACCTACGGCTCAATTCGGGAGGGCCGGGGGGGGGGGGGGGGGGGACT